TAATCATCAAACTATATATTTTTTTAAATATATATAGTATTTTAAACTATTTATTTTTTTTTCCAAACATTCCAAAAAGAAAATAATTAATTTAGTTTTTTCTAAATCACAAAATTTAATTAAAAAAAAAATACCCCCTCAAATTTTAATTTAAAAATCTTAATATAAATTTGGTATTAAAATATATATATATATACTTCCAAAACCCAAGGTGAATACTTAATAAAAAAAAAAATTATTAAATTATAATTTGACCCTAAACTTTTAAAATCTCGTCTATCTAACCTCTAAATTTAAAAAATTGTCTATTTAACTCCTATATTTTATTTACCTTAAAACTATTAATGATACGAAAATAAAAGTTAAAAAAATTATATATTCTTATTAAAGAAATAGGAGAGAGAAGTTTGGGTAAGGAATTTTTAAAACGACGTCACTTAGAGGATTTAGAGGGTTCATTTAAACAAGTTCCCCAGGGCCAACGGAAGATCGCCTCTCTCATTTTACGAGTTTTTTTTCTTTTTCTTTTCGTTTCTTTCTTTGTTGTGTGTGTTCGTGAAAACCAAACAAAAACAGGCACTACCAAACAGAAGAAAATTCGTATTTCTGTGTAAACATCATCACAGTTCTACAGTACACCTTCTTCGTTTTCCGAGAAATTTTCTTCTTCCCTCCAAAGATTTTTAGCCCTACTCTGATTGTTTTTGCAGCAGGAGTGAACCCCATATGTCACATTTTTGAAACTGATTTGAGGTTTTCCTTCGCTTCTATCCTCTCTGCCACTTCTTTTCACATGCCCTTTGTTTCTTTCCTTTAGCTTTTCCTTCCCCTTCCCCCTTTCCCCTGTTTCTATTCGCCTTCTTACCCACCATTTTTCACTGGGTACACTGGATTTTGGAGTTTTATACCCCGGAGCCTCTTCTTCTTCTTCTTCTTTCGCTGTCTGTCACTTTCAGGGTTTTTCCCATGTCGGGTTCCTCCAAATTGCGACTGGTTCGATGCCCCAAGTGTGAGAATCTTCTCCCGGAGCTCGCTGATTATTCTGTTTATCAGTGCGGTGGATGTGGTACCATTCTACGAGGTATTTTTATTTTTTGTTCCTTGTGGGTCGAGCTGAATTTATATTCTCTTTACCATGTTGGGTTACTGCGATTATTTCGAATTTAGGTTTTAATTTGGGAAAATTTTACTGCTCCAATCAAATTTCGTGTTGTTTCTTCGAGGAGAGTGTTTCTGGGATTTGAAATGGAGTACCCTTTTTGTTCTTTGATTTCACAGCGAAAATTAGAAATCAGGAAGAAGACTCTGTGTCTGATAAGTCGGATGAAGACAGGGTTGGAGGGTTGTCTACTAAATCCACTACTTCTCCTGAAAAAGGGACGGTTGATCTTAGTGATGGTGCCTCTGATGTGGATTTAAAGGCGAGTCCTGATTCTTTGCCTTGTGATCTTAAGGGCTCAGAGATGGATAAAGTGGAAGGTGTTGAGAAGGGTCTTAACTTGAATATGGACAAAAATGGCTTCAGTGATTTGATGGGAACGGAACAAGTGGATTTAAATGTTCAGATGAACATGATGAAGCTTGGATCAGGAAGAGAATTGGATTGGAAGAAGGGAGAGACAGGTGAGATGGGAGATGGGGCTGAGAAGAATTCAAGGGGTAGTGTGAAAAGTGTGAGGTTCTCAACTCCGAACCATGAAGACGATCAAACGAATCGTCAATTGGAGTTCATGTCTGGTGTGCAGGAGCTTTTAACGAGTCGTGGCAATGCCAATGGAGCTGATAAAGTTAAGCACCTCGAACAGGACCGACTCGAGCTTCTGAGGAAGCTGGACGAGTTGAAGGAACAACTCGGTCAGTCTTGGCCAGTCCCTGCCGATGGTGGAATGAAACCTCCTAAACCTTTGAATCACTCTGGTGCTTGGCCTATGGATGGTTCTTCAGGATCAAAGTATGTTTCAGGCTCTTCATTTTCCAACCATTGTTCAGAACCATTTCCTGTTGCCAATGGAATTGAGCTGCCTGTCCAAAGCTATTATCCAAACAATACATCTCATTTTGGTGACCCTTTTGGATCGCAAATGCTTAGACGAAACTCCTGCCAGTTTTCGTGTGCTCATCAACAGCACCCTCACCAATATCATTCTGGCCATTATGTCGATACCAGTTTGGATTCGTTCAATCACTACCCTCCTAATCCTCCCTTTCATCAGCCTTCTTGCTCTTGTTTCCAGTGCCAAAATAGATACTCACAGGTTCCATCCTCACTACCTGGTAGTGCTTACTTCAATAGAAGGTTTCCTGATGTTTCAAACAATCCCTCACTATATTCTCATGAAAACATTGCTGCTTATGGGGCATGTGTTAATAATATTAGAACCACTAATCCTCCCATAAATCTTCGTGATCGACAAGCACAATCACGATGGCCAACTGACTTCAATTCTGAGATTGGTGGAGTCCTTGGCAACCGTCCTCGGAGGACAGCCTTAGTGAGTGGTGGCCGTAATTGCCATCCAATTGCTGGTGGTGCTCCATTTCTAACATGTAACAATTGCTTTGAAATGCTACAACTTCCTAAGAAGCTTATGATGGTTAAGAATCAGCAAAGTGTTCGTTGTGGAGCTTGTTCTACGTTGATCAATTTTACAGTTATCGACAAGAGACTTGTTTTCTCCAATCATTCACGGGGAGGTCGATTTCCCTCAGAGGTTGATGATAGTGATGAACTGGCTGTCAGAGATTATAATTCAAATTTTGGTCACTTGAACCGTACTAATTTCTCTTCTGATGATTATGATAACAACACTCTTTACGATTTCGAGTCACTAGATAGAGAGCCTGTGCTACAGCCCATTGGTACAGGTTTAAGCTCAAATAAGCAACAAGAGATGCCAAGTTTTCATCCTACATCTTCAAGCACCTCAGAGGATGAAGACAGTCCAGATCTTTCAACTGCTCCAAGGGAGGCTACAAACAATTTACACAAATTAATCAAGACGACACGCTCTCCTCCCCTTCCTGGCTCACCACTTCAGTCATACTTCGATTACTCGTCTAATAACCAGACTGCAAACAGGTTTACCAAGGGAAATCGAAGTAGCCGTTCAGATCAGGAGAATGTGAAACCAAATAAGGTTAACTCACGACAAAACTCTTTGAAAGAAGCATCACTGGCAACTGAGATGGATGTGTCGATGAACGACTACTCTGATACCGTGGCGTTTCCAGAGACAAAGGATGCAAGTAAAGAAGATAACCCGCCAAGAGCTAGTAAAGGAGGGGAGTCTTTTTTTGCAAACATTATCAAGAAGAGTTTTAGATCTAATCAAGTCGACGATCGGAGCAGAAGTAATGTATCAGTTAATGGACAGTTTATATCGTATCGTATGGTTAAGAAAGCTGAAAAGCGCGCTGGACCGATCCATCCCGGAAAATACTGGTAAGCATACTTAAAAACTCTTCTATGCAAATGAGATAGTAGGATGCATGACAGTAAATGTTAATTTTTGGCTGCAACTCATTCAATTATCTGACCTAACTTAAACTGATATAGCATAGTGGTCAATGGGGCAAGTTAAAGAAAAAGTAAAGGATTTTTGTGGGGTTACAATGTAGAATGTCTGAACTTTAAGATATAGTTTGAGAATATTTAGATTTAAAAAGCGATCTACCTAAGTGTTAGAATGTCTGAACTTTAAGATATAGTTTGAGAATATTTAGATTTAAAAAGCGATCTACCTAAGTGTTTCTTCTTTTTATGTAACATGTCATGATGTAAAAGCAAATCTAGCTGTTTGTGTGCAACTTTTTTGGCAAAAGTAGTAAGCATAAAACAGAAGTGGATGCTTTTTACTGTACACTTATGATGTTGTGCCATAGCCCGCTTCTCAAAATACCTTCATGCTTGTCTCCATTGTGCTAATGCCACTTCAAATTAATCGAAAACAGGTACGATTCCCGGGCTGGATTCTGGGGCGTCATGGGCGGACCTTGTCTTGGCATAATTCCCGTAAGATTGAAGCTTAAAGCTGATGCATTGACTTGTGTTTTGATTCTTTGCCATGTTCTTAAATTGTGTCTTGTATGTTTGCAGCCTTACATTGAGGAATTTGACTACCCCATGCCAGAGAACTGTGCAGGAGGAAATACTGGTGTTTTTGTGAATGGCAGAGAGCTTCACCTAAAGGATTTGGATTTGCTTGCTGGAAGAGGGCTGCCCACTTCAAGGGAATGGCAGAGAGCTTCACCTAAAGGATTTGGATTTGCTTGCTGGAAGAGGGCTGCCCACTTCAAGGGACAGATCTTACATTATCGAGATCTCTGGCCGAGTTCTCAACGAGGACACCGGTGAAGAGCTCGAAGGCCTCGGAAAACTTGCTCCAACGTTAGTGCTAAGCTAATACTACTTTTGGTTGTTTAGAATTCGAAGGCCTCGGAAAACTTGCTCCAACGTTAGTGCTAAGCTAATACTACTTTTGGTTGTTTAGAATTCTTCATTGGTTTCTGATATATCTAATGCTAATATATACATACAACATTTTTCTGACTCAGAGTTGAGAAGGTAAAGCATGGATTTGGCATGAAAGTTCCAAGAACAGCTTCTTAATTGGGAACACAAACCGCGTAATCAAATCCTGTATCTCAGTTGTTGGTATGTTCGCAAAGGTTTTCTTGTCTAAATTACCAGAGCATTGTAGTAATGTTTTATATGTTTTTGTTAGTTTAGTGTCAGTGTTTGTGTGGCATGTCTGTGTCTGTATTCAACTGTTGATAAGTTCCCAAGCTTTCCACCATTCTTTGTTCATGGAAAAAGAAAATTTTTGGTACTTAAGAAGATGAACATGAACTCAAAAGGGACCATAATATTTAGGGGAGGGGAAGAAGGGTTAGAATGTTATGAGAAAATTAATGAGCCCCGCAACACGAGGAGATGAGATGAGTCCAGTAGTCACTGTCACTGCCACTGAGAAAATTAATGAGCCCCGCAACACGAGGAGATGAGATGAGTCCAGTAGTCACTGTCACTGCCACTGCTACTGCCACCGTCCCAGACAGTGATGTTGGAATTGCTTCTGACTCAACTAAAAATTGAAGACAAAGCATCCATAAAAGAAAAGTGGAAAAGAAAAAGTAGAGAATAAAGGGAAAGGAAAAAGGTTGTGCAAAGCATCCATAAAAGAAAAGTGGAAAAGAAAAAGTAGAGAATAAAGGGAAAGGAAAAAGGTTGTGTGAAGTATAGAAGAATGTTGTTTGTTTTGAATTCAGAAAGAAAACAATGGAGCTGCCATGGGCGTTGGCAAGACACTTGGCGTCGCTGCTCGCTGCTCGCTGTCCACAAGTAGGTAACAAGTTTAAGGTCATTAGGGCGACATCTGGTCATTGTGTAGGTCAACCTCTAGTCTGTTGCACCTCAATCCTCATCTTCCAAGATCATCAATTGCAAGTAATGAATGATACCCATTTCAATGCAACAGTCATTACTGCTTTTGTACATAGTTGCCCATTTCAATGCATTGAAGTGCTAAAACAACTTCTATCCTACCTATTCTTTAATAGCTTCCTTTTGCCCATTTCAATGCATTGAAGTGCTAAAACAACTTCTATCCTACCTATTCTTTAATAGCTTCCTTGCATTCTGTGAATGCAACTCCTCACCTATCCATCTAAATGGTAAGCAAAGTCTATTTGCTAGTAGATATTGTCTTTTTTAGGTTTTTTCTTTTGAGCTTCTCTGGAAAGTTTTTAAAATAGATTTGTTAGGGAGAGGTTTTCATACCCTTATAAACAATATTCCGTTTTCTCTCTCCAATTGATATGCGTTCTCATATTTCACTCTCCTTCAGGGTCCAGCTAGCGTTCTCGTTGATACTCGTACCTCTCTCCAGTCGATGTGGGATCTCACAATCAACCCCCATTCAAGACCCAACGTTCTTGCTAGTATATCGCCCATTTTTTACCTTCCTTTGAGGTCCAATGTCCTCGTTGGCACATCACCTTGTGTCCACCCTCTTCAGGGCCTGATGTCCACCCCTCTTTGGGACCCAAAATTTTCACTAGCATCCTACTCGATGTCTAGTTCTGATATCATTTATAATAGTCCAAGCCCACCGTTAGCAGATAGCAGATATTGTCCTCTTTGGGTTTTTCTTTTCAAATTTTCCTTTTAAGGTTTTTAAAACGCTTTCAAATTTTCTTTTAAGGTTCTTAAAACGCGTCTACCGAGTAGAGGTTCCCACACCTTTATAAACAATGTTTCATTCCTCTCTCCAACCGAGAAGTTCCCACACCTTTATAAACAATGTTTCATTCCTCTCTTCAACCGAGGTGGAATCTCACCGAGCATAAGTGGACTCATATTGACAAGTTATTTGACCAATGGAAATTAGACTATTCTTTTCAAACTAAAGAGAGTTATGACTAGATGTGTGGGTATTATTCAAACCTAAATGCATAACTTCTTCATTTGAGTTATGTTGAACATATACGAGCACACAGTGTTATTTCCATTGTGACACCTAATTATAGAAGTAGTAGATTGAATAAACTGAGACTATATTCGAACGAGAGCGATCTTTTAGATATGATGACTAAGAAAGACTTAAAAAATTGAAAGTTATTTTAGGTCCACGTTTTTTTTAGTAACTCAATCTTGTGAACTTCAAAATTAAGCGTATTTTGGTCACCTTTCTCATTAACGGTAGAAATTTTCTAAAAACCGTTGATGATTAAAATACTCATATGATTGATTCCATTACCTAAAAAATGGATTTCTAAACGTCTACGCTCAAAATGCATTTACTCAAAGTTTAAATCAGTATAAAAAATAACTCTCAGACACTATAAGCTAATAAATTTAAATATGTATTGAAAGCACTCATATGTATGACTGACTAACTACCTTCGACCACCATCGACCTCAGTGATATGGGTCTCGGACGANAGTAGAGGTTCCCACACCTTTATAAACAATGTTTCATTCCTCTCTCCAACCGAGAAGTTCCCACACCTTTATAAACAATGTTTCATTCCTCTCTTCAACCGAGGTGGAATCTCACCGAGCATAAGTGGACTCATATTGACAAGTTATTTGACCAATGGAAATTAGACTATTCTTTTCAAACTAAAGAGAGTTATGACTAGATGTGTGGGTATTATTCAAACCTAAATGCATAACTTCTTCATTTGAGTTATGTTGAACATATACGAGCACACTGGGTATTATTCAAACCTAAATGCATAACTTCTTCATTTGAGTTATGTTGAACATATACGAGCACACAGTGTTATTTCCATTGTGACACCTAATTATAGAAGTAGTAGATTGAATAAACTGAGACTATATTCGAACGAGAGCGATCTTTTAGATATGATGACTAAGAAAGACTTAAAAAATTGAAAGTTATTTTAGGTCCACGTTTTTTTTAGTAACTCAATCTTGTGAACTTCAAAATTAAGCGTATTTTGGTCACCTTTCTCATTAACGGTAGAAATTTTCTAAAAACCGTTGATGATTAAAATACTCATATGATTGATTCCATTACCCATTAACGGTAGAAATTTTCTAAAAACCGTTGATGATTAAAATACTCATATGATTGATTCCATTACCTAAAAAATGGATTTCTAAACGTCTACGCTCAAAATGCATTTACTCAAAGTTTAAATCAGTATAAAAAATAACTCTCAGACACTATAAGCTAATAAATTTAAATATGTATTGAAAGCACTCATATGTATGACTGACTAACTACCTTCGACCACCATCGACCTCAGTGATATGGGTCTCGGACGAAGTTTGTCGAAGTTTTCAATACAAGAGTGGTTGTCGGTGGTGGTCGCCATCNAGAAAATTAATGAGCCCCGCAACACGAGGAGATGAGATGAGTCCAGTAGTCACTGTCACTGCCACTGTCACTGCCACTGCCACCGTCCCAGACAGTGATGTTGGAATTGCTTCTGACTCAACTAAAAATTGAAGACAAAGCATCCATAAAAGAAAAGTGGAAAAGAAAAAGTAGAGAATAAAGGGAAAGGAAAAAGGTTGTGTGAAGTATAGAAGAATGTTGTTTGTTTTGAATTCAGAAAGAAAACAATGGAGCTGCCATGGGCGTTGGCAANATATGGGTCTCGGACGAAGTTTGTCGAAGTTTTCAATACAAGAGTGGTTGTCGGTGGTGGTCGCCATCGCCATTGAACAAAGTATATTTGATGGTGGTTGCTATTGAACGAAAATATTAAAATTCAATAAATATCATAATTTTAAACTCAAAATAGTTCTAACGTGTAATCTTTAATAAATATATAAACGATTANCATCTCATTTTGGTGACCCTTTTGGATCGCAAATGCTTAGACGAAACTCCTGCCAGTTTTCGTGTGCGCATCAACAGCACCCTCACCAATATCATTCTGGCCATTATGTCGATACCAGTTTGGATTCGTTCAATCACTACCCTCCTAATCCTCCCTTTCATCAGCCTTCTTGCTCTTGTTTCCAGTGCCAAAATAGATGCTCACAGGTTCCATCCTCACTACCTGGTAGTGCTTACTTCAATAGAAGGTTTCCTGATGTTCCAAACAATCCCTCACTATATTCTCATGAAAACATTGCTGCTTATGGGACATGTGTTAATAATATTAGAACCACTAATCCTCCCATAAATCTTCGTGATCGACAAGCACAATCACGATGGCCAACTGACTTCAATTCTGAGATTGGTGGAGTCCTTGGCAACCGTCCTCGGAGGACANTTGCCCATTTCAATGCATTGAAGTGCTAAAACAACTTCTATCCTACCTATTCTTTAATAGCTTCCTTTCATTCGGTGAATGCAACTCCTCACCTATCCATCAATGTAATGGAATGGAAAACAAAGTCTACCGCGAGTAGATATTGTCTTTTTTAGGTTTTTTCTTTTAAGTTTCTCTGGAAGGTTTTTAAAATAGATTTGTTAGGGAGAGGTTTTCACATCCTTATAAACAATATTCCGTTTTCTCTCTCCAATTGATATGCGTTCTTATATTTTACTCTCCTTCAGAGTCCAGCTAGCGTTCTCGTTGATACTCGTACCTCTCTCCAGTCGATGTGGGATCTCACAATCAACTCCCATTCAAGACCCAACGTTTTTGTTAGTATATCGCCCATTTTTTTACCTTCCTTTGAGATCCAATGTCTTCGTTGGCACATCACCTTGTGTCCACCCTCTTCAGGGCCTGATGTCCACCCCTCTTTGGGACCCAAAATTTTTACTAGCATCCTACTCGATGTCTAGTTCTGATATCATTTATAATAGTCCAAGTCCACCGTTAGCAGATAGCAGATATTGTCCTCTTTGAGTTTTTCTTTTCAAATTTTCTTTTTAAGGTTTTTAAAACGCTTTCAAATTTTCTTTTAAGGTTCTTAAAACGCGTCTACCGAGTAGAGGTTCCCACACCTTTATAAACAATGTTTCATTCCTCTCTCCAACCGAGAAGTTCCCACACCTTTATAAACAATGTTTCATTCCTCTCTTCAACCGAGGTGGAATCTCACCGAGCATAAGTGGACTCATATTGACAAGTTATTTGACCAATGGAAATTAGACTATTCTTTTCAAACTAAAGAGAGTTATGACTAGATGTGTGGGTATTATTCAAACCTAAATGCATAACTTCTTCATTTGAGTTATGTTGAACATATACGAGCACACCGTGTTATTTCCATTGTGACACCTAATTATAGAAGTAGTAGATTGAATAAATTGAGACTACATTCGAATGAGAGCGATCTTGTAGATATGATGACTAAGAAAGACTTAAAAAATTGAAAGTTATTTTAGGTCCACGTTTTTTTTTAGTAACTCAATCTTGTGAACTTCAAAATTAAGCGTATTTTGGTCACCTTTCTCATTAACGGTAGAAATTTTCTAAAAACCGTTGATGATTAAAATACTCATATGATTGATTCCATTACCTAAAAAATGGATTTCTAAACGTCTACGCTCAAAATGCATTTACTCAAAGTTTAAATCAGTATAAAAAATAACTCTCAGACACTATAAGCTAATAAATTTAAATATGTATTGAAAGCACTCATATGTATGACTGACTAACTACCTTCGACCACCATCGACCTCAGTGATATGGGTCTCGGACGAAGTTTGTCGAAGTTTTCAATACAAGAGTGGTTGTCGGTGGTGGTCGCCATTGAACAAAGTATATTTGATGGTGGTTGCTATTGAACGAAAATATTAAAATTCAATAAATATCATAATTTTAAACTCAAAATAGTTCTAACGTGTAATCTTTAATAAATATATAAACGATTAATTCATTGAACCATGTTGAAATTGGTAATAAAATATCATAAAATAAGAATGTAATTAATATGTCACATGCTATCAATAAATTATTGAATTTCACCTAATTATGAACCTTTTTGTAGGTGGAAAATAATAGAGAAATGATTGAAAAAGCTTTGTAACCTTACTAATCACTCCATTATTAATGTTCATCATCATGGCATAATATTTGCATCACTCTTATAATTAAATAACTTTTTCCCCCATTTCCTTCTCTCTCAACCCCATTAAATGTAATTTAATTCTAAATTTATCTCTAATATTAAATTAATCCCCATATTAAATTTTAATAACAAAATTAATTAATTTTTTTATTTATAAAATTATAGAGTTTTAATTGATAAATCATTTGCTAATGCTCTATTTCATGCATTTATTAATAAAATTGAATATTAATGTCAAATTAAACACTAAAAAACTCATTAGTCTATTTCTAGTTTAAATGTCACTTTATGACAAAATAGAAAATAAATAAATTAAACAAAAAGTAAATATCTATCTCCATAATACTTTTTCGAAGTTTTTGTTTTTTTTTTTGTTTTTTGAGTCGTCATTTATGACGTCATTGCTTACTCAATAATTTATGGCCTTGTTTTCAATTAAATTTAATTAAAATTTGGAATTTGGTAGAATTTGGCTATGGTCAACGAGGTAAGCCCATGCATGGCTGAATAATGTCGCCCTATTTAGGACCCTTTTCTTTTTTTCTTTTTTCTCTTTTTATTTATTATAAAAGCCTCAATATAATATTCCCTTTCTTTTAAATTTATATTATTTTTGTATTACTAAATTTATTTGGATATTATATTTAATAATTAATAATAATAATCTTCAAACAATTAAAAGTATTTTAAATTTAAGGTTCAAAATAGAATATTTAAACCAATCAAACCTTTAATACAATAAAAATATAAAATTTAAATTTATTAAATAAGATAGCAAAATAACTCAAAAAATAAGAAAAAAACAAAAACTCATGGTATTAATGACTTCATTTCCCCATTTTTGCTCTTTTCTTTTTAAATTTTTTACCAAAAGATTTTAAACCTCTTTCTGAACTCATATGGTATCTTACCATCTACCCTCCTTGAGAGTTAGGGTCATGACTGGATTGGACCGTCATTCCAAACCGTCCCTTAATTTTTAAACTCATATGGTATCTCACAATCTACCTTAATTGAGGGTCAGGGTCATGATTGGATTTGACCGTCGTTCCAAACCGTCCCTTAATCGAAAGATGACAGCACCAGGGTCATGACTGGATTTAACCGTCGTTCCAAACCGTCCCTTAATTGAAAGGTGACAGCACCGTCATTCCAAACCATCCCTTAATTAAAAGGTGATAGATGAGAGGGGTAAAATTAGTCCTGACTGGACTTTACCCTCCGTCCGGTCGTTCCAAACCGTCCCTTAATTAAAAGGTGATAGATGAGAGGGGTAAAATTAGAGCAATAGGATGATAAGCCTTACGTTTGAATTGACATCACCATCCCCACTCCTACTCATCCAGCCACAAGCCCCTTTCCATGTTATTCTTCCATTCTTGCCTCTCCAAAAGATTCCATTTTTATTACCATCCATTCTATAAATCCCTTCTCTACTGCTCTCCCCTTCCTCATCAAATTCTCAATTTCTTTCTCTTCTCTGTTTTTCCAATAACCATAACCACAGCCACCGCCGCCGCCATGGATGCTCCGGTGCCTCATTTGGCCATTTTTCCCAGCCCCGGAATGGGCCATTTAATTCCACTTGTTGAATTCGCCAAACGCCTTGTTTTGCACCACCATATAACGGTCACTTTCATCGTCCCTTCCGACCATCCGCCGTCCAAGCCTCAAAAATCTCTCCTTGATTCCCTCCCTTCCGGCATCGATCACACCTTCCTCCCGCTGGTTAGCTTCCACGATCTTCCCCATGAATCCAAGATTGAAACCATCATTTCCCTCACTGTTTCTCGATCTCTCCCATCTCTTAAAAATGTACTGAAATCCATGGTGACTAATTCAAACCTTGTCGGCTTGGTCGTTGATCTTTTCGGCACCGACGCGTTCGATTTAGCTAGAGAATTCAACATTTCCCCTTATATTTTCTTTCCTTCCACCGCTATGGTTCTCTCATTTGCTCTGTTTCTTCCCAAACTCGATGAATCCGTCGCCGGCGAGTACGGTGACCTCCAGGAGCCGATCCAAATTCCGGGATGTATTCCGATTCACGGCAAGAATCTATTGGACCCAGTTCAAGATCGGAAGGACGAAGCCTATAAATGGACATTTCACAACATGAAGAGGTACGTTTTATCAGATGGGATTTTTCTGAACAGCTTCCCGGAATTGGAGCCCGGAGCTATCAAATTTCTCCGAGAAGAGAAACAGGGGAAGCCCCCTGTTTACCCAATTGGGCCATTGGTGAGAATCGATTCAAATGGAAGCAACGAAACAGGGGAAGCCCCCTGTTTACCCAATTGGGCCATTGGTGAGAATCGATTCAAATGGAAGCAACAAGAAGGCAGAGTGCCTGAAATGGTTGGACGAACAGCCAAATGGGTCTGTTCTATACGTGTCATTTGGAAGTGGGGGCACTCTGTCTAGCCATCAAATCAACGAATTAGCCATGGGATTGGAAATGAGTGGACAAAGATTCATATGGGTGGTAAGAAGTCCAAGCGATAAGGTGGCCAACGCTACCTATTTCAACGTCCACAGCCACGACGACCCTTTTGATTTTTTACCAGAAGGGTTCGTAGAAAGGATGAAAAACAGGGGACTGGTGGTGCCGTCATGGGCGCCGCAGACTCAGATACTTAGCCACAGCTCCACCGGCGCATTCCTGACTCATTGTGGATGGAACTCAACGTTAGAGGCGGTGGTTAATGGAGTTCCTCTGATCGCATGGCCGCTTTATGCAGAGCAGAAAATGAACGCTAGAGGCGGTGGTTAATGGAGTTCCTCTGATCGCATGGCCGCTTTATGCAGAGCAGAAAATGAACGCGGTGATGCTGACAGAGGAGATCAAGGTGGCGTTGTGGCCAAAAATGAACGAGAAGAAAGGGATTGTGGAGAAGGAAGAGATTTGGAAGGTGGTGAAGGCGGTGTTGGAAGGTGAAGAGGGGAAGACAGTGCGAGAGAAAATGAAGGAATTGAAAGAGGCAGGAGGCGGTGTTGGAAGGTGAAGAGGGGAAGACAGTGCGAGAGAAAATGAAGGAATTGAAAGAGGCAGGTGAAAGGGCTGTTGGAGAAGATGGGTTGTCCACTAAAATAGTGTGCGAGATGGTTGAGAAGTGGAAGAACAAGATTTCCACTTGACTTGCCTTATCCTTACAAACAAAACCATATCCCTACAAGATGTTCATATTTAAAAATTTGATCTATTAGGTTCTTAAATTTTTCAATTTTATATCCAAGACGTGTGAATAAACCAAGTTCGATCAAATATGGATTCTCGGGGTTAAGATCACGCATGACGACACACTAGCCGCTTGAGAGGTCTGACACGGTCGAGGAGAATGGCTTGAGCTTTGGCCTCTCTCTGTCTGTTGGACTATGGGTAAGTCGTTGGTTGTTAAGTAGAATAAAGGGAAGATGCGTTAAAGGATTGCATAGAAATGAAGCCCTGTTTTCAAATAGTAACAATCTATAATGAGGAGTGGTTTTATGCCATTAATGGTGGGCGGCAATCGAAGAATTGACAGTACAGATTGGAGGGTTGATAGGACTAAGTTTGTGTGGGTGTGGAAGCGCACCCAATTCCAGCGCACACTTGTAACTACTCAATTTTAATTCTCATATTCATATATTCTTCTTCTTCTTTTTATAATAATTATAATAATAATTATTATTATTCTTACTCTCCACTTCCAATACAACATTAATTTTTAATACCTAGGGTAGGTTTTGGTCTCTTATATAGTGCATTGTAACGGCCCAAGCCCATACTACTAATAAATATTGTCAACTTTAGGCGGTTATATGTTACCGTCATCCTCACGGTTTTACATGGAGAGGGAGAGGGAGAGGGTCTAGCCCTACTGCGACTAGTATCTTGCACTGTCCGGTGACTGGACCTAATACCATTTGTAACGTCTCAAGCTCGTTACTATATTGTTTCTTTGGTCTTCCCTTTTCGACTTCTCCTCAATGTTTTACAATGAGCCAGATGGAGAGGTTTCTAGACTTCCAAGGTATGTTTTGTTTCACTTGCTAACGTGGGATCTCCCATTTTCAAACCAAAGCCCAAATCTCCGTCCACAATTCTTTCCCCTCAATCATCAACAACTTTTTCCTCGACCAAGGAAACCAATGCATCATTTTTCAACGCCCATAGTCAAAATGATCCATTGACGTTATTGCCTGAGGGGTTTGTGGAGAGAAACAAGGGAAAGGGATTGGTAGTGTCGGCCTAACCAACCCGCAGTCCACCTGAGCAAATTGAACCGCCTAACCCACGACTGCAAAAAGTACCCACGTGTGATGCCTGCGACAAGAACACTTCCCATCGCATATCAGTTTAATTTTCACCTGTTTGATTTGTGTTTGCCCGATTTTTTATTTAAATTCTAACCTTATTCTATGTGAATTATGACCTAAGGGAGAAAAATCAGTTTTTTTGGACATCCTATTCGTGTAGTAACGCTAAACAAAAGGGCACGCGTCAATCAAGTAAGTCACTACATGAAACCTTAGAAAGAAATACTGGTAGAAATCGCTTGACTATGCATACATAGTTTAGTTACCTTAGGTGGTTAGTCTTTCCATATGAGTAATGTGAAGTATTATGAGAAGTCACAGGAGGATGGAAAATTGTGAACTATGTGCTCTGGGTGTTGATGGATTTTATCGCCCCATTAAGCATATATGTCTCTTTTGCATGAATTATGTATGATGTATCTAGATATTTGATGTGTGCACAACAAGTTACTCTTTATGATTCATTATTATGTTAAGACTATGAATTTGCGATTAAGGTAACTAGTCACTAAATCTAGACCCAACACTTTCCTACGAGCCTAAGAGACCACCACGGCTTACTAATGGCCTTAAGAGGTATCCTTAGGCTGCAAGTTGTGTGAATGGTGTCATAACTTCGTGGGAGACTAGGGGGTTCCTGATCAAGACCCGACTGCTCCTAACAGTTTTAACATGGAAAATTAGGGGCGTACATTCAACTCGACAACCTAGACCAACTCAACTCGAATTATAGGGATTGGGTTGGGTTAACTTTTATGAATCGGAATTGACTCGGTTTGGTTTCAAGTTCATGAGACAAAACCCTCGAGCCTTATACATCCTTAAATTGTTTATAATATGAATAAGAATCGTTCATAAGTTTTGTTTTAATGTTAAAGAATATAGTTTATTATAGGGTTATTGAATATGATTTATACCTTTAGATTATTTTAAAATAAAAGCATATTATTTTCATTTTACTTAAACTAAAATGAATTTTTTGGAATTGAGAATTTCTAAATTTGATTTTAAAATGAATTTTTTGACATTGAGAATTGGTTGGTTGGGAAGTTTCTGATTGAACTCGTGTAATTTAAATAAATTTAAATATCTAATTTTATTAAAAAGTTAGCCATGAAATAAATAATTTTAAATTCTAATATATTTATTAAGTTACAATTTATATATTTTTTATTTATTTTTCTAATGGCTTCGAGTCTGTAACTCCAACATTAAGTCTATTTCAATTAAAATATTTTTATAGTATATTTTATTTTGATCTGTCCTTTAATTTTCTCTTACTTTAATTCATTTTCAAAAAGTGTCGGTATTTAGCTGTATTTAGTTTTATAATAATGTTGAATTATGTTAATATGTTACTTTTTTTTCTTATTTTCTATTGAACTTTTTTTTTTTGAATAATTATAGATTGATAATATCTTTAAAGATTTTATGAGTAATTATAAATGGTAGATAAATAAAACTTTTTTTAGAAAATTAATTTTTTTTAACAACGGAACAACTCAACCAGAAAATAAAGGGTGGGTTGTGAACATTTTCTGGCTAGGTTGGGTTACAAATCCAACCAATTCGAACTTTTGGGTTGGGTAAAAAAAAAATCCCTCAACTCAATCCAACTCGGACCATGTACTCCCGTATGAAAAACATGAGACCCACCTTGTACAGACCATTTAGCTGGATGGCTAAGCTCCCTTCCCGATGAGGGGACTATTATGGACCTAGGTGGTTGCAGCTCACCCCTAAGTAAGATACCAAGTAGTCTTATAGAGCCATGCTTGAGGTAGCTCTTAGTAGGTCACTAGTCATTCACACCTCAACATAAGGAACTATTAGGGTTTAAATGAAATAATGAAACAGAGCAGCCCCAAGAGGTTAAGACTAGAATTAGACGTTCGAGAGCCAATGAGAAGTCTATGTTTATCTGTTAAGCCTAGAATGCGATGAGAGCTTACAAGTAGGTGATTTATTGAGTATATTTTTTATACTCATACTTGCTACGTTTTTCTTTTTTAGATGCTTGAGGTGTCGGGTCAAGAGGGCGTGTTTGAGAGATGTGGATTGCCAAAAAGGAAATCATGTCACTAGGCATGAGTCCAGTATTTCTTTTTTGTATACAAATTTCATATCTTTCGTTGCCAAAACTAGTCACTATTTGAATCATTGTATTGAAATTTCCTTTTGAAATAACTTATTTCCTTTTTATGTCTTTTCAAATATTTTCTTACTCTCACATTATTGTTTTGAGTCACTAGTGTCACGGTCCTGCCTTCTTGACCGTGCGGCGTCGTGATCTATACACGCTCACAACTAGCCTTAAGGGGAATTAAGCCCCATATGTATTTTTCGCCCCGGCTTTGTGGCTTCGTTGGACCTTAGGCGAGGTTTGTCTTCACCAATCGAACATCACTTGTGCAGAATCCAAGCTTGTTCAACCACATACGCCACCTGCGCGTGTATGTTCAATCGTCTGCGACACATCCGACTTGCCTCTATGCTAGGCCAACTCATTCGGCTCGACCTTGCCTCTACTTGGGCCAAGGTCTCTCAATATAACGGCGCATCTCATCTTATCATCTCGATCCCCATCGATAGGGTCCATATGTCTTGACGCCATCCCGAGCCTCGGGATGTCGTCGGCCATCATAACTCATTCGGTCATGCCATCGAGAATGGGCCCGCGTGTTGTTCTTCTAATCGGGACTTCCCGAACATCCATCCATCTTGGTTCTATCGAGGCATAGGCCCTCCCGTGCCCATGCCGAGTCATTTACGGATACCGTTCTGGATACCGGGTGTATGTAACAACCTCCAACACGCGGGCTAGGGCGCAATACCGGTACACCCGTGCCGTCCAGTACTGTCCTTCAAAAATCTATTTCAAAGGAAGTCACCCAAGACACTCGTCTCGGCACGCTCGCCCACACTTTAACACACGTATGCGTCATAGGGTAGCTCACTTAGGCCACAGGGCCCAGGGGTGGTGGAGAGCTAACACCATGGTACCCCCTATAGTACATTTTGAGCCATTTTCATTCTACGAGGTGTAGACATGATTTTGGTGAGGTGTCATATAGTGTCGTGCATTGTCCGTCCAATGTCCGATTGACACCAAACTTGGCGAGCATTCATATTTCATATAGACGGACTTAACTCCCGAACCGCATGCCCAAATTCCTTCCGAAACCCCGACTTTTGAGGTTAAGGCCCGGGGCCCTACCTGGCCCTTCAACAAGCCTATATTGTCCTTCATGTCTATGTTGATGTCTCTGTTATGCTTATGTCTCAACATATATCTTCAGTACTCACTTTGCGTGGTGGTGTGTTGGATGATGCATCGTCCTCCTCGATCGCATCATGACATTCTTCTATGTTGGCCCGCATATGGCCGGATGGGGCGTCTCTTGAGGGACGCCCCTTTGTTTGTCATGGCGTGAGGGTCACAACCTACTCTCTTCATACTATGGTTGTGACATTCTCCTCCACTTAACTTAGTCATCGTCCTCGATGACTTACTCGAGTCACAATCATATTGCAGATTGTGACATTCTCCCCCTCTTAATTTTGTCATCGTCCTCGATGACTTTCTCGGGCGCATTCACCCCACCTATTGTGAAATTCTCCCCCACTCAATCTCGGCATCGTCCCGATGACGATCCAACTCTTTGTCTATTGGCGACTCGACTCGCTGGATTTGGTTGTGCTTCAGAAAAGTATACTATTGTTGAGCACCTGACGATCTTTTGTCATAATACTCATCTTGCTGACGTCTTGTGCCAACTTGGGACAAGTTCGAGTGGATGCTTCTGACTTCTCTTTTTGTCAGGTGGCACCACGTTCTGACTCTTGACTTGGTCAGTTGTTGGGTGAACTTGTCTCACTTTGGCTTGTTCCTTT